CCGGAGAGCCTCCGGCAGCCGTCCAGAACCCAGGGCTTCCTCTGTGGGACAGCCGCCCCCCGGCCCCGCGGCCGCTCCCCAGCGGGTCCCGCCACGCCCTCGGGCTGCTTGCTGCTCACCAGCAGCTGCAGGAACGGAAGCCACATCCAGAAGCGGCTCCTCCCCGGCACCTTCATGATCCAGCCTCAGGGACAGGGCCAGACTGCCCAGAGACTCCAGCTACGCTGAGCAGGCATTTCAGACACACATGTTCAACTGAAGAAGAGAGGACCTGTCACATATGGTTGAAGGATGATTCATTGCTATTGAGATTAAAGTACTACATGATTACTAAAAGCTATCAGTTTTCTGAGGAAAATGTTATTTTTCCTAGATGAATAGAAACATCTGAGTTATTTAAGGCATCTAGATTACAATCAATACTGAATGTAGAGTATGGTGCCTGGAAGGTTACACCTGAATTTAAAGGCAATTTTTTAAGGGAAGTTCAGTCTCATGTATGTACCATATCTACCATGTGCAAACGACATACACCAATCCCATTCAAGGCCGGGGACGCTACCCACTTCCCCATCACAGACAAGGAGCCGGGAACCAGCTCCAGGGGCCAGAGGTGGAGCTGAAGCATCACTAGTGGGCTTGGGCCACCATCCACTTCCTTGAGTCACATGGACCTCGGTCCAATTTCCAGCATGAATCTACAGGTGCAGGCTAACAAGATGTCAGGGACAGAAAAGAAAGTCACAAACCACAATCACACTGCAGCGTTTTCCCTGCCTCGGACCAGGCCTCTGTGCTTGCTCCCTCAGGGAGGCGCACCCTGCCTGTGGGGCACACGGGTGGGACGGGGCCTGGGTCTCAGCACTGCCTGTGAGGTGAGGGGCGGGACGGGGCCTGGGTCTCAGCGCTGCCTATGGGACACACGAGCTGAATAGGGCCTGGGTCTCAGCACTGCCTGTGGGGTGAGGGGCGGGATGGGGCCTGGGTCTCAGTACTGCCTGTGGGATGAGGGGCGGGATGGGACCTGGGTCTCAGTACTGCCTGTGAGGTGAGGGGCGGGATGGGGCCAGGGTCTCAACACTGCCTGTGGGGTGAGGGGCAGGATGGACCCCGGGTCTCAGTGCCACCTGTGGGGTGACGGGCGGGATGGGGCCTGGGTCTCAGCACTGCCTGTGGGGTGAGGGGCGGGATGGGGCCTGGGTCTCAGCACTGCCTGTGGGTTGTGGGGCAGGATGGACCCTGGGTCTCAGCACTGCCTGTGGGGTGAGGGGCAGGATGGGCCTGGGTCTCAGCACTGCCTGTGGGGTGAGGGGCAGGATGGGCCTGGGTCTCAGCACTGCCTGTGGGGTGAGGGGCAGGATGGGCCTGGGTCTCAGCACTGCCTGTGGGGTGAGGGGCAGGATGGGCCTGGGTCTCAGCACTGCCTGTGGGGTGAGGGGCAGGATGGGCCTGGGTCTCAGCACTGCCTGTGGGGTGAGGGGCAGGATGGGGCCTGGGTCTCAGTGCCGCCTGTGGGGTGAGGGGCAGGATGGACCCTGGGTCTCGGCACTGCCTGTGGGGCACACGGGGCTGCGCCTCCCAGAAGAGGGCTAATCAAGGTGCGGGTGGAGGCCATGCAGGAGCCGACCAGAAAGGATGAGCACAGAGGCAGGAGGACGCGGAAGAGGCGCAGATGCGGGAGAGCCCAGGAAGGTGTCCCTGACACCCCCTGACCCGGGCAGTCAGGCCCGAGTCCTACACCAGGGAGGAAGCAGAACCCGCTGCTTCCAGGGGTGCAGGTGGTCTTCTACAACGTACAGATATCGCTTCACTTCACTGGTAATCCCGGCTCTAATGAGTTTAATCTGGATTCCCAGGCAAAGTAGATGAGACACAGCAAAAATAACAGTGTGCGTTTCTAAGAATCCCAAACAAACCAAGAACTCACAGCCAACAGAGTGGACAGCAGAGCTCAGGAAGGCAGAAGGGGTTGCTGTGGCCCGCGGTATAGTGGGGGCGACTGTCCCAGGCAGACCCTGAAGAGGCCCCCACTGGAACAGGAGCGTGACCCATGGTCAGAATGACAATCAGAAGTTACCCGCTGAAGAGTGCATGCTGGCCCATATTCTGATGAAGAAGTCAGGAATCTGTTCAGTATGTGTTTAGACCCGGTGTCCCCACGTCTCCCAGAGGACCACAGACTCTGGACAGCTCACTTCCCGACAAGACAGGATACACAGCTAGAGCTGTTAGCATTACTGACTTCCCCGTGCAGTTTCAGTACAGCTTTAAGTAAATGTTACCACCTTAAACAAACCAACCACTGACCAGTCACAATGATACCAGCAATATGTGCTGATCTGTTATTTTATTGACTCACATGCTAAGATTCTAAGGTTTCGAAGGAAAGAAATTAAGCTCAACCTCAAATGTGCATATTTAGTATCTTTCAGAACTGAGACACAAATATCAGATGCTGAGTTACTGGCACAGATCTAGACACACACGTTTTCTTCAAAAGATCACAGAAAGTGAAGCTTTTATAAATTTCAAACTTCAGAAAAATAAACTGCTGCACAACTAGTTCGGGAATAAAACCCGTTGTTCATTATGATGGTTCCTTCTGCAGACAAGTCCCTGTAGTTAGTTCTCCCTCCCCCGACAACACCCAGGGGGGAAGTCACTTTAATGAGAAATCTTTGAGAACTCTAGTCTTAGTCATTAATATGTCCACTGAAAAGAGCGTCTATCTTTTGATAGAAAGACGTCTATGAGCATAAAGCTGAAATTACTTACAGACACTTAAACTATGAACCAGGACTTCCCTGGTGGTCCAGTGACTGATACTCCGTGCTCCCAGGGAAAAGGGCCCGGGTTCAATCCCTGATCAGGGAACTAGACCCCACATGCCACAGCTAAAGGTCTCACACGCTGCAACAAAGGCTGAAGATCCCTTAAGCCAAAGAGAAGACTCAGCGCAATCAAATATTTTTTAAAAAGATGAATCACTCCTTCTTCATAAACTTCTCATTTTACCTTCATATTCAACTACCAAATCCTAGGGACTACTAAATTGTAACATGTTTTCTCTTCAGTAAATGGTGTTATTTTGTTATTGCTATTTTTTTTTAAATAAATGGCATATATTTTCCTTCTTTAAAAATTCTATTTATTTATTTGGCTGTCCCAGGTCTTAGGTGCAGCATGTGGGATCCAATTCATTGATCAAGGACGGAAGGTGGGTCCCCTGCATTGGGCACCTGGAGTCTTAGCCACTGGACCACCAGGGAAGTCCCTGTTATTGCTATTTTTAATTATTTAAAAAAGACACTTTGGACTTGTTTTGGTCTTATAATGAATTCTTAAAATTTCCACACCCAGCTGAACCCCTGGCCCTAAATTGGGGGAGGAGGGCCTGACCTGGCACCAAAACTCCAGGCAAGAATTCCAGAGCGAGTCTCCAGGGCCCGGTGGGATCAGGGTTAGCAGGTGCAGAACCTCTGGAAAAAAGAAAGCAGGAGAGTTATTTGCAGTGGAAGGTTTGACATGAGCATTTTGGCCAGATTCCACTAAAGCTTCCAGGCACAAAACAGCAACAAAGAAGGAGGCAGGGACACCCAGGGTGGAAGCAACCTAACTCAATGTGATTTGTGCAGGATTTTACCTGAAAAGCCTATTTTACACTTTAACAAGTTAGATGATGAAAATTGTATTTCTTAAAAGATAAAGCACTTATAATCCTGTAAATACAACTTATGGTTCATTTCTAATCACTAAAAGAACTGGAAAATGAATTTAAAAAGCAAAACAGGAAGGACAAAAAATTCTTATGGACAATAATAAATTTTAAAGTATGTAAGGTTAATTAAACTGTACAAAATGGAGTATTCTGGACAGGTACCAGTCCAATCACTGGCACCTGTCCCGTGACTGGCAGCCACCCTCGACGATCCCCTCCTCGGAGTAGCTCCCAGAAGTTGGGTTTGGGGCTGTCCCTGAGTCACGCGTTAATTCGGGGCCATGCTGTGCTTCCTTCTCAAGGGACCCGGAGACTGCATGACCCCTGGACAAACGAGTGTGAGCTCCCAGGTGAGATCCCGCAGGAACTGGGGGTGCGGGGGAGGGGGCTCCTCTGCACACCTGGGCCGAGGATTTGGCTGGGGGATGGGGGGAGGGGGGTGTGCACTGTCCAACCCCCCTACGTCCACAGCCCCCGCCCGCGCTCCCATCGCGCCCTCCCCGCCCCTCACCCGCCGCCAGGTGCGCGGGCGTGGAAAAGGCGCTCAGGTGCGGCACTGTCCTCGGCACAAAGCCGGGGGGAGGGAGACGGCGGAACCCCGAGGGTGGAGAGAGTGCTCTGGGGAGGAAGCGGGGAGACCAGACCCCCTGGGAGGGAGGAGCCCAGACCTCCCGGGTGGGGGAGCCCAGAACCCCCGGGGAGGGAGGGGGCGAGACCAGACCCCCCGGGGAGGGAGGAGCCCAGACCCCCGGGAAGGGAGGAGCCCCGACCGCGGGGGAGGGTGGAGCCCAGACCCCCGGGGAGGGACGAGCCCAGACCCCCCGGGGAGGGACGAGCCCAGACCCCCGGGGAGGGACGAGCCCAGACCCCCGGGGAGGGAGACCCCAGACCCCCGGGCAGGGAGGGGAAGGGAGCCCTGAGGGCCGCACTTGAGGCCGCGCCAAGGCCCGGCGCCGCACGCCGCGCAGCGCTCACCCGGACGTTCCGGTTGCGGCACGTCCAGGGTCCGGGTCCGGCTCTCTGGAGGGGAGGACAGGGAGGCGACTTCTCCGCATCCCTTCCCAGGCGGCAGGGCCGCCCCCGGGGCGGGGCCCAGGTCAGGCGCCCGGAGGGCCAGTTCTGCCCGCAGTCTCCGGAACGCGCTCGGCGCCGACGCGGCCGAGAGGGCGTCGCGGCGCCTTTAAGGAGGCGGGGAGCGGTGTCCCCGACCCGGGGCGGGGCGGCGCGGTGCACGCCGGGAATCGGAGGCCTAGCGCTGCCCGGATCCCGGCCGCGCACGGCGCGCCGGGAGTCGGAGTCCTTTGTCCCTGGACGGTGTCCTGGCTGAGGCCCGGGCGGGGACGGCGCAGGCGGCGGGGCGGGCGCGATCCGGGGCGCTGTGGGGCTAGGGTAGGTGGCGCGGGGGCCGCCGGCGGGGGCAGGACCGGGTCGGAGACTTGCGGCGGGGCCCGGGGCGGGGGGCAGCGAGGGAGGGGCTTCTGGAGCCTTCGGGTTGTGCTCTGAGGCGTCGTGGAAGCGCGGTAACGGAGGGGTTCCGTGTGAGGCAAGCCGGGTCCCGGGCCGACGCGACAGTCGCGGGTCCGGTAACGCTGGGGCCGAGACCCGGCAGAGAGGCCGGCCCGGGCGCGGGGCCCCAGACCCTTCTCCGCGGTCGGGGCCGGGCCGGGAGCCGCGTGGCGGCGTCAGACGCTGAGCCAGTGGACGCTCGGCCTCGGCTCCTCGGCGCGAGCTGAGCGCCCCGCAGTGAATGGGGCGGGGGGCGTCCAGAGGTGCGGAAGGGGCAGACCGGGGTGCCCTCCAGGAATCGGAAGGCGGCCAGGGAGAGGACGCAGCCGGCTGCGCTGGGGCGGCCTTCGCCCTCCTGGCAGCGGGATCCTGGGGAGAGGGCTCGGGGCTGGAGAGGGGGTCCAGGAGGGAGTGGCAGGGGCAGGGGCGGCGTGAGGACACACCCTCCCGGTGGGGAGCGCCGCGGAGGAGGAGGTGGAGCAAATCCGGTCCGGAGGGAGGGGTCCAGCAGGTCCGGAAAGCGGAGACCGCGCTTCCCCAGGGGAAGGGGCTGCGTGGTCAGGAGCCTGGGGCCTTCTGAAGAGGTTGGAGAGGCGGGAGAGTGAAGGGGGCACTTGGGTCTGACTCCTTGCCCCCCTCCCCACCTACTGAACTCAGAACCATCAGGGTGACTCAGCTTACACCGTTAACTGGGTCGGCCCCTTGGAAGCGACCTTGTTGTATTCGGTGTCTCTGGAAGGGCATTTTAAAGACGTATCTAAATTCGATCTATGGTCAGTCTTGATGCCCGCATCACAGAAGTGGTTCTTCACAAGGTCACAGTTAAAAGTCTTGAGACTTTTTCCAGAAGTTAGAGAATTTATCTGATATTTCTCCTAGATTATCCACATTTTTATTTCAAGAATTTTGTACATTTTGAGAGGATAAGGCTTTTAGGAAAAGCCCACCCACTTCCCTTAAAAGCCGCCAATAATCATTTAATTTCCTTGGCATGGTGAGCCTTAGTGAAGTCCATCAGAGCTTGAAGTGTAGGCAGTGGTCCTGCCAATTTATGGACCTTTATTAATTTATTTTTTAGGCGTGACCTCCAAACAGCCCAGCTCCTCCTGGCACTGAAACTGAAGAAGGCGGTGACATGAACTGTCCCCTCTGATCTTTGCTTTGGCAACTGAGAAGCTCAGAGCCTAATTTTCAGCTTTCAGCTCTTATATATGGTATGCATGTCTGTATCTTATCTCTGGCATTTTTTGTCTTTTTTTCCCCTAATTTCTTCATCTACATCTTGTTTTCCAATTACATGTTTTTGTAAGTTACAACTTATTCTATGTGCTTCTGTAAACTGTGTCATCTTTTTTTTTTTTTTAAACAAAACAGTATAAATCCTTTTAAAAGTAAAAATTTTCCCTTTATCATATTATTGTTTTTTATAAAGTATTAGCAGCAGCAGCAGATGGGTCTGGTTTTGGTTTGGGGGGACGGTTTGGCCACACCATGCAGCATGTGGGATCTTAGTTCCCTGACCAGGGATCAAACCCAGGCCCCCTGCAGTGGAAGTGTGACGCTGGACTGCCAGGGAAGGCCCTAGTGTCTCTTGATTTACAACCTTGGTGAATCACCGTCATTGCTGCTGTCATCTTCATCAGGTTACCTTCAATAAATAAAACCTTAACCATTCCGGTATCTGGAAGCATCAAAATACTATTTGGTTTCATCATATACTATATATAGTGCAGTTACAGGGTAGTTTTGTTATTTACTACCCACCCACAGCCTCTGCCCTATTTTTCCATTTTATTTCTGTCTCATGTACATGAACTTCTCATTATTAGTATCTTTACTTAATCATCACGGGCTTTTTGTTCCTGCTTTTGGAACTTTTATAAGTTACTTTTCACACAATTTTTTGTTACATGTGTGTGTTTTCATCAGTGTTGTTCTGCTTATTTTAGACAGAGGAAAACTTAAAATAATGATGTTTCTAAACCTCAAGGGCCTTCTCCTGGTCATTAGGGCCTGAAATTAATTGACGCTGAGGAGGACCCACAGGTGGGCTGTGGTGTTGTGGGCAGACCTCGGGTTACCCTCTGGCCTCACTTCATCAGATGGCACATGCGTGTTAGAAAGGGGGATTTCACTGAGACTCAAAGGGAAAAAAGCAGCATCCTACTTCATTCGAAGGGAACCAGATAAAGATCAAAATGTATTTTGCATAGAATACTGATATTTCTAATTTGGGGGAGTTTAGACTTTCCATATTTATTACTATATAGATACTGTCGTTTGAATTTTCAGAAGGCTGTCCAGTGTTTTTACTCAGTGGGGAACAAAGCTTTGTATTTCTGTAATTCTGAAGTGCAGTCTGGTCACCCGGGAGAAGTTAAGTCCAGATACAATGTAGGTGCTGGTGATCGAGCCGTAACGGCTCTCTGGGCCGGCCTCATTGGCTTTCCTGCCTCTCTCGCTTCCCAGAGCATAAGCTTAAATCATCTCAGAAGGACAAGGTCCACCAGTTCATGGCATTTACTCAGGCTGGCAAGAGAAGTGCCGCCCACTGCTTAGAGCAGAGCAAGTAGACAGCAGACCTGGCCACGGACAGCTGCTTCCTGCACCCGAGCGTGTTCACAGGGAATCCATGAGAGCCTCTGTGGACAGGAAGAGACTGGAGCGGCTGTGTAACAGGAACAAAGGTAAGGGCACCGAGGCACCGCACGTCCAGGGCGCGGGGTGGAGTTGGGAGTTTCCCATGCCGTGTCCCAGGGCTTCCGACCGTGTGCCATGTTAGGAGCGCAATCCCCTCCCTTGCTGATGGTCAACTCTACAGTTTAGTTAGTTTAATCGGAACGTGGCTGCTGATGGCTTGAGGCTGGGGTGGGACAAGGCGCACAGTCTAAAGGCTGATGGGCAGCGAGCCCTCCTATCCACGGCCTGAGTCAGCTGTGGGGAGTCACTGGTGGGAGGCTTGGTGTCCAGGCCAGGGGGCTACGCCAGCTACAGGAGTACTTTTCCCGAGCACTTCCGCTGGGCAGGAGTACCTGGTGAGAAGGCTGCTTGAGAACTATTCCACATCGTCCGAGGAGTTCTGACAGGAGGTGCAGGTCACCCTGCCCTCCATGGTTGGTGGTGCCAGAGTCCTGCACCAGTGCCAGTGGCAGAAGCTTCTGGAAGAGCTCTTGGCAGAGAGACCTTGTGTTGTCAGTTGGAGACAGCAGTTATTTTTATTGAAATCAGCGCTTAGAATGGCGCTTTCCCTCTCAAAATACAGTCATGAGGCAAAACAAGTTTGCAGATCCAGACAGCTCCACGGGCTCCGAGTTCCGCATCAGGCGTCAGGTCTGCTGAGTGGGAAGGCGGCAGTGGCTCAAGAGTTGAGTTATTTTTTCTTTCTAGCAGCTTCTAAGGTTACTCTTATATTTCCAAAACTTAAAAAAATAGAACGCAGAAAGTGAAAACCCTCATTTAAACAAGTATTAACACAAGCTTCCTAGACGTTGAGTTCTTGTTTATTGTTTTCATTTTTTACTTTTGAAAATATACTGTGTATATTTTAATCTATTTAGATACAAATAAATCAACTGAAAATTGCATTCTTTTTTTTTTTAATCTTAGTTCAGAAACCTTCTATGGTTAGAAGAGCAGATCTGTGTTTGTAGTTCTCCAAAAGGAGCGTTGTTTTCAGTATCCTTTAGATTTTTTGGCTAAGTTAATTACTGAGCTGATTTTATAAGTCATTCAGATGTGTGCAGCTGCCTTTGCAAAAGTTACCTTTATTCTTTAGTTCAAGATTTGGGCCCTAAAAATAAATATATAGTTAGAGACTGTTGACAAACATCTGTCCTTACAGAATGTATACAGATGAGTGCCTCCAAGCTATTTTAATGCATCCAGAAATGACGTATGTGAAGTTTGTCGGGAAGGCTGTTAGGTGAGGGCACGGTAGGCCCATTTTCCCATCCTCCTGACCGTGTGCCGTGTGAGGAGCACAGGCTTGAGTCGGGATGTGGCGAGCCCCTCTGTGCCATGAGCCCACTCTCACAACCTGGGAGCATAGAGTTGGAGGGTCTTGGCGACTGCTCGAGCGATGGGGGCCGGTGGTCTCCTCGGGTAACGACGTACTTTAGATGTGGTGCTGAGCACTGAGGAGTCCGACCCTGTGTGATGAAGAGTCTGCTGCCCTTGACCTTGCTCCAAGTGAAGTGCCACAGCCTGCTCTGGTGCCTCCCACAGCAGCAGGCGGCATGTCACCGCCAGGCGGGCCTGGAGACGGGCGAGCTCGTGGGGCCTCACTGTGCACTCTTACTGATGCTTTAGTAGGCTTCGCTGTTTGATTTTCCCATGGAAAAATGCTAACTTCCTTAGTTTTATTTCTAAACTAGGAATTAGGGGAGGGGTAAGCCAGAATTTCTCAGCCGTTAAACATGAGTGTATAAACTAAATGACCAAAAAATAAGTGTCGTGCAGTGGTATTAGCACTATAAAAAATAAAATCACTTTTGAAAAATACATTATCTTTCTTTTGCCTTGGCAAGGTGATGGCAAAAACTTGAACTACTGTGAATACTTCACCAGGCAATGTTTTTCATAGCAGTTTGCTTTGGGCAAGCTAAAAATCTGTAAACTTGAATTTTTATTTTACTCTAGGGAAATCAAAATTTTTATTCATAATTATATTTTCAGAGAAGTTTCAGTAATTTTTTTTCTCCCTCTGAAAACCCAGAAACCTCAATTTTAAAAATAGGAGTATTTTCTGGATAAATTATTATGTTACTATTTCTCTCATATATGCTTGAAAATTGCAGTGCATTGATTGATGTACTAAAAATACATTCTTTACACCCATTTTAGTAATACTTTTCAAAATATCCAAGTTTTTAACTTATTTTTCCCTTAATTTTAACTGTAGACCCACAAGATGAAAATAAAATTGGAATTGATGGAATTCAACAGTTTTGTGATGATTTAAGCCTAGATCCTGCCAGTATCACAGTTTTGCTTATAGCGTGGAAATTCAGGGCTGCAACTCAATGTGAATTTAGCGAAAAGGAATTTGTGGACGGCATGACAGAACTTGGGTAAGTAAACTGGTCTCAGTTCAAACTTTTTCAGAAAAGAAAGTATTTTCAACATTATTTTTCAGCGACTTGTAAATTTCATATCAATTTATGTCCTTGTATATTTTACAAATTTCTTGTGCATTTGTACTATTAAACCTTTTGGTTTTCTTTTGAATTCCAGTTAAGGTTTGTTCAGTATTTTTATTCAGATTAATTCCTTTTGTTACACTTTCTCCTTTTTAATTTTTTTCTTCCAGTTTTGAGTTGTCATAAACATCCAGGTGTTTTTGTTTGTTTTCAGCCATTTAATTTATTTCATAATACTGTGTACTAAATGTATAATTTGTTGTGTTGCTGCATTAAGCATTAATAAAATGTCATTCTGTCTTTTTGCTTGTACGACTTCTCTGCTCTACCTAGAGTTGGAGTAAAAGGTTCACTAATACCTTAAGATGTTTCTTACTTATTAGGTAAGTCAGAGAAGTACATGGAAGCACATAACATAAATAACTTTTAACCATGAAGCTTACTGCAAGTGTGTGGAAGCCAGCCTGCTGACTTGCTGATACTCTGAGGTCTCCGTGTTGACAACTTAAACTCACTTATTTTTAGCTCCCAAAGGAGCTTGAAAGCCTTAGGTAAACATGTTCTAAGGCTGTGCAGACAGGGTGCTTGTTTTCACTGAACCCAGGACTCTGGTAAGATGATAAGTTCTATGAGACTTTGTTTCTAATATCTTCCCACATTCCCGAAAGTTGAATAAAACCAACTGAACAACAGGTATCTTTATAACAGTATTGTAATCACATATGTGTTCATATTCTTTGCACCTGTGAGAGCCTAGAGACATTCCAGTGATCTTAGAACCGGAAAGACCCGTTAAAAGAGTATCCATAACTGCTGGACCACAGTTACTCCACCTGTTAAAATCGTCCCAAAACGGGAGCTTTTGGAAATAAGTGCTTCTTACAGAGACAATTAATGGCATTTCTTAGACATTGTCTAGGAATACATCATACAAATAAAATTTTAAAATTCCTATTAGCCTATGAAGTGTCATAATTTTAAATACATGTTTTAAAGATTCTGAGCATGAATCTTCCCAAAATGTTTTTAGATCATCTCACGCCTCCTTATCTGGAGTTTACAGAATAGAATTTAAGGTCACAAGTTAGTGATGGTCAGTGGCTTGCTCTCTCTCCGCACCTCATGGGGCAGTTAAAGGTGAAAGTACCATTTAAAATATTAAACAAAAGTTTTGTGAATGTATTAGTGAACTGTGCTGTGGAGAATAACCTGTGCTTTTAGGGACATGAAGGACTGTTTGCCTCTAAATAGTGCTAAGCTCTAGAAATACTCTGGCTTCTGTGTCTGCTTCATTATGATTTCCTCACACTTTTCTTGGCTGTTGACTCTTGACTATGGTTAAAATACCTGCCTTAACAGTTAATTCTACACCTTTTCTTTGGGTGCTTGAGGATTCTTAGATAAACTGAATAAACTTTATGAAATACCTTGACATTTTTAAAAACAAAAAATTGTCTGTGTGGGTCTTCCCTGCTGTATCCATGGGTGTTTTTATCTGTCTTTAACCCAGCACCACATATTCTTAATTGTTGTAGCTTTAGAATAAGTCTTGATGAGTTAGCAAAGTCTTCCCACATTGTTTATTGACTGCAAGATTGTTAGTGTTTATTATTTCAATGGGGGGTAAGAAGAGTCTTTTCAACAAATGATGCTGACACAATGGGGCAAACATGAAAAACTTAACCTCAGTCGCTCCTTCATACCATACCTGAAAATCAGTTGGGGCTAGATTGTAGACCTGTGCCAGACACTAAAACCACCAAGTTTTAGACAAAGATTCAGAAACTATAACTTTGGGTTAAGCTTTTTCAGAAAAGACAGAAAAAGTACCAGCCATAAATGAAAAAAGTGGTAAGTTGGACTTGATCAAAGTTAAAAACAGCGTCAAAAGATGCTGTTGGGAAAATGAAAAAGATAAAACAGTGGGAAAAAATATTTGTTCTGTCTTTGTATATATTATAATCACTATAAAAACATAAAATTCAATCTGAAAGAATCCAAGGGAAAAAAGAGCACAAGGAAAATTAACTTCTGGTGGGACAAATCGCAAGCCCATGATAAAATGGAGGATTTAAGCCTAAAAATGTTGGCATTTATGTAATTACATTAAATGTAAGTGAACTAAATGCTAGGTGGGTTTTTAAAAATCAACTACTGTATATACTGTTTGCAGCAGATAGAACTGAGACACAAGGGCACAGAGCGGTTTGAGGGACAGAGTCTAAAGTATTGTGCAAACATTGACTGAAAATAGGCTGATGTGGCTGTTAGTATATTAAATAAGCTTCAAAGCAAAAAGTAATCCTACAGATAATGAAAGACTTTCTTTTTCTTTCTTTTTTTTTTTTTTTTGGTGGAAAAAGAAAAGGTGCTTTTACTCAGGAGGCCCACAACCTGGGGAGATGGGAGACTGGTGTCCTCAGTTGTCCACCTGAGTTGCTGGTTAGGGGCCAGAAAATTGAAAGTGGAGTGTCAGTCAGCTCTAGTAATCTTCTGGAGACTCGTCCTGCAGTGGTCTGGTCGGTGTCATCTCCATGGTTTTCTGCTTCTGTCCTCTTAAGGCCCTGGAGTTCTGTGGATACAGATCCTGTGAGTTCCCGGTTCCCCAGCTCCAGCCCAAGGCAGGCAGAGCAGGATGGTGTTAGCACCTGGAATCACATTCCCTGAAGACCTCATATGATGTGTCCACTAGAGACATTTTGACACAGAGAAACCAACCAGTATGTGGATGAGTGAGACAGCAAGGTGGGAAGGTCTTGTAAATGAATTAAAGAGCAAGGGGGAGAGGGAAGAGGGGGCAGGAGGATTCTGAAGACTGTCTCTCAGTGATAAAAGTTTTATTTTACCAGGACAGTAATAGTTGATTTAAAGCAGAAATTAAAACTCTAAAGAAAATTATATAAATCTGCCAGCACAGTGGAAAATATGTCCTCCCATCTTCTCACACACATCTTACCAACTGGTAGACTAAGTGGGTGAAAAATCAGCAGTAAATAGAAGATTTGGAAAAGGAAATAGAACATTGCCCTTGATGTTTAGGAATACATATTCTTTTCAAAAAGGACATTTATGAATATTGACTGTAAACGGGGCCATAAGGTAAGGTACAACAATGTCCCAGAGTTGAAGTGATACAGAATGTGTTTTCTGACCACAGTACAACTAAGGAATGTAACAAAAAGTTCGCTAGATAGGTTGAAATCTGTGTGGATTCTGTACCTCTGAATAACCCTTCGGTTGAGAAAGAAGTTACAACAGAAATTAAAGTATTTTGAGGGATGAAACTGTATGAGAACATGCAGGAGTCAGCTTCTTAGATGCATATTTTAGAAAGTTGAAACTCACTAAGGAAAGCATCCACCTCAACAAGTAGTGAAAAGGACAGGAGATTAAACTCAGTGCAGACAGAGGGAATTAAAATTTTTAAACAGGCAGTAATTTAATGATTTTTTTAAAAAGCTATAAGTAGAAAGGATTCTTAAAGCCAAAAACTTGACATTTGAGAAGACCAGTAAAGTAATGAATGCCACATAAGCCATATAGAAAGAAAGGGGTCATTGCTATAGACCCTACAGATAAAATGAGCCTATTATGAACAGCTGTATGTTTATAAATTTGAAAGCTTAAATGAAATACAGAAGTTCTTTTAAAAATGACAACTTACGTGCACCCCAATGTTCATCGCAGCACTGTTTATATTAATAGCCAGGACATGGAAGCAACCTAGGTGCCCATCAGCAGATGAATGGATAAGGAAGCTGTGGTACATATACACCGTGGAATATTACTCAGCCATTAAAAAGACTTCATTTGAATCAGTTCCAATGAGATGGATGAAACTGGAGCCCATTATACAGAGTGAAGTAAGCCAGAAAGATAATGACCATTACAGTATACTAACACATATATATGGAATCTAGAAAGATGGTAATGATAACCCTATTTGCAAAACAAGACAGATGTACAGAACAGAATTTTGGGCTCTGTGGGAGAAGGCGAGGGTGGGATGTTTCAAGAGAACAGCATCGAAACATGTGTATTGTTTAGGGTGAAACAGATCACCAGCCCAGGTTGGATGCGTGAGACAAGTGCTCGGGCCTGGTGCACTGGGAAGACCCAGAGGGATGGGATGGAGAGGGGGGATCAGGATGTGGAATACATGTGAATCCATGGCTGATCCATGTCAGTGTATGACAAAAACCACTACAATATTGTAATTAGCCTCCAACAAATAAATGAAAAAAAAATGACAACTTACTGAAATGGGCCTGTGAAGACACAGGTCCGTAACTCTTAGAGAATCAGAACACATAATTTAAAATCTTTTCAAGGAGAAAACTTGAGGCCATGATTGGTTCACTGGCACATCTTCCCCAACTTTTAATAAAGAGAATAACACCAGTGTCACACCAGAGAAGAGTACAGGAAAAAAAACTCCTAGCATGTTTTGAGGCTAGCATAACCTCGATAGTAAGACCTAGAAAGGACATGTTGAAAAGGGAAAATTATAAGCTTCTCTCAGTCATAAGAATCAAAAGACACATGATGAACAGAAGATGCAAAAATACTAACCAGATTTTCAGCAAAATAAATCAAGCCTCCAAAGAGAGTCAACCAAAAATCAGGATTAATCATCATGACAGTTTGTTGTAGCCCAGAAATGCAAGATCTGTTTAACATTACAAAGTCAATTAATGTAATTTATAGTAGTAACAGAAAAGGGAGGGGTGGGTATTTTATCAGTGTGTGACACTTACTGATACCTAAGTGTTACATTTGCACTTTCAGTGATCAGCAGTATGTGGGGTGGGGCAGGATGAGAGCCAGGAAATAAACCCGTGTTTCCAGAACACTTGATTTATGGCAGAGGTAGCCTTTTAGAGATGTGGAGAAAAAATGGCTTTTCACGAAAGGGTCCTGAGGGAACTGGCTAGTCGTGGGAAAATGTGGCTTCCCTGGTGGCTCAGATGGTGAAGAATTCACCTGCAAAGCAGGAGATCCAGGTTCAGTCCCTCGGTGGGACGATCTCCTGGAGAAGGAAATGGCCACCGACTCCAGTATTCTTGCTTAGAGAATTCCATGGACAGTGGAGCCTGGCGGGCTGTAGTCAATGGGATCACAAAGAGTTGGACACAACTGAGCGACTAACACTTTGATGGGAGAAGGTTCGTCTTGGTCTCTGCCTCACACAGAACATAAACTCAGTTCAGTGAGCTGTAGGTCTCAGTGCGAAAGGCTGAAGGCAGAAACCTTTAGAAAATAGGAGAATACCTGCGGCCGTCCAGTAGCCCAGGTGGTGAAACATCAGAAACCACTGCAAGGAAGACGAGTGAGTAAATTGTTCTGCTCTGAAATCAGAACTTCTGACCAGAAATAGCACCAGGAGGCAGCACGTGGGAAAGGGGGTGGGGGCTGTGAGATGCTCTGCTGACGAGAATCCCCACAAAACAAGAAAAAGATGACCTGGTTGAGAACGGACAGGAAACACGACCACGCCCTTCACAGAAGATGCTTTCCAAGGGGCCAGTGAAGATACAAGCAGGTACTCAGCCTCACTCCTGGGGTGGGGTAGGGGGCTGCAAGTCAAGAGCACACCAAAATAGGACCTCCCAGGTCCTTCTAGGGCAGCTGCCGAGTGTCGCTGGTGGGCAGTCACCCTGGAGAAGGGTTTGACAAGACTTGTGGAATTGCAGATGGGTGTCTGCCTCGCACATTCACTGTGTGCCAGGATACACATACGGGAACCTTCAACATTCTTCATGACCAGAAAACTGGAACCAGCCGAAATGCTTACCTGTAGGACAGCAGTGTTGCAGTGTGAACCCGGTGGCATGCTGTGAGATGACAGAGAAGAACGACCAGAGGCCCATGGGTGAGCCTCGCACACACAAAGAAGCCCAGACACAAAGTAGAACGCGGGAGTTCCCATTTGTTAACTGCAAAGCAGGGATAACTGATGGGTCTGCCAAGGAGTGCTAATGCTGTGATGGAGGCGCGGAGAAGAGCCAGGGTGACGGCCTGGAGGAGGGGGGTGGTGGTCCCGCTCACTCGCCAGACACCGAGCCCCACGCGGGCTCCACCTGCCTCACCGGGGCACGCGGGTGAGTGACATGTGGCTCTCAGGCCCCTCCTTGCCAGGCAGTCTAAATAAATGACAGATTTTATGTTTCACTGTTCTAAAGCCTGCTTTAGTGAGGGCTTTTAAATATTCCTAAGGGTTGTTGACTTTTTGGAGGAAAATTCAGTCTTAGAGCGATAGAGTTGTTTTCCTGTGCTGGCTGTTTCAAGTCCGGCCCACCGTAAGGAAGCACGCCCTGGACAGCGGCCGGCACAGGCTGCAGGCCGGCTCAGCTCTGCCCTCAGCGAGGGCCCGTCTCGTCCAGCCTCGTCTCCGTCGGGCCGGGGTGCTGGTCTCTGCGGGGCCCCGGGAGCAGGGCTAACCCCTGGCTTGCTCCAGCCCACACAGCGAGGAGAGCCTTGCAGCTTCTGTGGGGTCCTTCTTTAATTTTAATGACATCTCTGTGTGCGCGGTAAGTCGCTTCGGTTGTGTCCGAGTCTTTGCGACCCCATGGGCTGTAGCCCGCCAGGCTCCTCTGTCCATGAGATTCTCCAGCCAAGAACACTGGAGCGGGTTGCCATTTCCTCCTCCAGGGGTCTTCCCGACCCAGGGATCAAGCTTGCATCTCCTGCATCTCCTGCCCTGGCAGGTGGGTTCTTTAACCACCCCTGGGAAGCCCAGTGGACTCTCTACTAAGATGCAGTCCATGCTCCATATAAATCAGTGGGTTTGGTTTCTTCACAGGGCAGGGGGTTACCACCACAAACAGGGCCAGCCCTTTCTAGCCCTTGTAGCCAGAGCAGGGACCCGAGAGCTCCACCCTCAGGCCCGAGCCTCAGGCCGCTCGGAGCGCGGGAAGGCTGGAGCTCTGCCTGCCACCCCACGACGCCCACGTGAGGCTCTGTGTCCTGTCCCAGGTGTGACAGTGCAGGGCAGCTGGAAGCCCTGCTGCCAGGACTGGAGCGGGAGCTCAAGGACACGGTGAGGTTCCAGGACCTTTACCAGTTCACCTTCACCTTCGCTCGGAGCCCGGGGCAGAAGGGGCTGGGTGAGTATGCCTGCCAGACGCCGGTCAGCTCCAGAGGATGCCCAGGCGTGGCCAGCAGGGCTCCAGGCGGTCCCCTCCGCCAGGGTCTCCCCTGATGGGCGCCCCTCGCCGCTGGGACAGTCCCACACGCTCCAGCCACTCAGCCTGCAGTCACTCCTGATGTGCGGAGCCAAAAATATGATTTTAAATGTGAAGTAATTTTCAGATACTCTTCGTTCTCTCACATTGATGTGTAATTGTCTAATGGGTTAGAGACGCGGGCAGGTGACATTAACCTCGTCCTGGGCTGGGGATTTAATGTTAACTTACTTGAACCAATTCTGATGTGTGTTGGATTACATTTTTCTTCTTTCAGAGATGTATGATTTTGCCAAAATGTTACTTGTGCATTACCGTATGTGGTATATACAGAAAATCTTAAGCTTGTATTTCCAGTTTGAGGTTTTGGTTTATTTGAGGATTATAAAATCCGCTTATTTCTGTTGCCGTGTCACAGAGAACCTCAGACTCGGGGTTTCGAGCAGCCATCCTTTTTATGGCATATGATCCTTTGGCTCAGGGCTCTGCAGGGCAGCCCTCCATGCCATGCAGGTCAGCTCAGATGCCCAGCAGTGTTCCCACTGCAGCTGGATGCCGCCTGCCCTGGCTGACCTGGGCTCCCCTGCAGGGTGGTGATCCCGCCGGAAGGCTGCAGGGCTGCAGGCAGGGGAGGTGGGAGCTGCCTGGAGATCCTACAGCATTTGTTCCATCTGAAGTCATCACGTTTGCCATGCTTTTAAAATTCCACCGTAACTTCTAAGAGGTTGTAAATTAGTCCAAGTTAATCACCTATTTTAAAGTTTATAAATTTACTTTCTTTGGTCATGAAGTTCAGTGTGAGTAGAAGTATTTTGAAGCACTTTTGCAACCTGGAACCCAGCGTGTGTAGCCTCTGTTTTAAATGCTCTGCCTAAGTCAGGCAGCAGGAGAGGAGAAATTTGTAATTTATCCCGTAATTCCTTCACCGAGAAAAAAGTCATCATCCACTTTATGCCTACAGACAAATAAGGTGTTTATCAGAAATCAGTCACTGAAGAATTGGAACAGCTACTGACTTTGTGTCTTTGCTTCATGAGACTCATTGAGACAACATAAAATCACATTAAATGGAACAACAGCCTCTTCAGGAAAATTATTACATACCTGGACACTTCACAAACATCACACTTTATTTTAGAAGGTTTTTTGGGGGTTTTTTAAAAAGATACAAAGCCAGATGAGTGTGGGGGAGTCGGAGGGAGGTCACGATGGGAAGGCAGACCCTGGAAGATTCATGCTGCTCCGTCAGGGGGACCAGCGCAGCGGGTAAAGCGGCGGTCATTTGTTGCTGTTACCCCGTGACTCCGGCAGGTCTGGCTCTTTGCAGCTCCATGGGCTGCAGCATGCCAGGCTTCCCTGTCCGTCACTGTCTCCCAAAGCAACTGTACTTCAATTAAAAAAAAAGAGAGTAATTTTGCAGCTGTGAACCCCAGATGGAACAATTGATTTTACAATTTCCAAAGTATGTGACCTTGTCTGTATTCTGAAGGGTTAAATATAATTTAAAGAGGTTGATACACGTGTTCCTATAATTCCTGAGAAAGTGTGGACAGCAGTGGAAAGGGGTGGAAACACTCCCCTTCAGGCCTGTGTGTCTGTCGTGTGCAGCGAGAGGGGCGTGTGCTGTGTTGTGGTTGTTCCTTAGCACTGCGCTGCTTAGCGCTCAGTCGTGTCCGACTCTTTGCAACCCCATGGACTGTACCTCACCTGGATCCTCTGCGCATGAGGTTTTCCAGGCAAGAAAACTAGAGTGGGTTGCTGTTTCTGCTTCTTTAGCCTAGTTAAAGTCGCTCAGTCGTGTCCAACTCTTTGTGACCCCATGGACTGTTCAGTCCTTGCAATTCTCCAGGTCAGAATACTGGAGTGGGTAGCCGTTCCCTTCTCCAGGGGATCTTCCCAACCCAGGATTCAAACTGGGGTTTCCTGCATTGCAGGTGGATTCTTTACCAATGGAGCTACTAGTGGAGCCCCCTTAGCCTAGTAGAGGAGGTAATTAAAACTCCTTGAGGCTTTGCTTTAATGTAAGATGCTTAGCACAGTTTTATACTGGCTAGAGTCTGCAATCAGTTGGCTTTGAGAAATCATAATTTTTGAGGAAGTAAAGTTTCATGATTATTAACTAATTTTTCCATCAGCCCAAAGATTCTTTTTTGACAGAATGGTCATCTTTATGATCTAATTCTAAATGGAGCATCACAGACATAAATTTTACTTAGGAACATTTATAATCATTTTCTTACTCAGGAGGTAGCGTTTTTCAAAGGTTATAGAAAGAAAATAGCTGCTCTGATGATTCCTTTCATGGTCAGTAGAGTAGATTTTGTTCTTGATCTCAGCTCTCAAGTTCTATCACTTGAGTGTTGCTGTTGTTTTGCAAATGGCCAGGTCCATCAGAACAGCACTCAGCCTGTTTACTTAGGTGCTGCTGGGTCTCTGAAAATGCAGGCGTCTACTATGAGTTGTGTGCTTTACAGATATGCACATCGGGAACTTTACAAGAAGGGTTTCTAGGACCAAATGAAGCCAAAGGTAACCAGAGTTAATGTCTACCATGAAGCTTTATTTCTCTCTTCCCCAGGTTTGGCTCCATTCTCAGTGTGAGGCTTCCCCTCACTGAGATGAGCTGAGTGTAGGTTTTCCTGAGTGATAAGGAAGTAGGCTTAGCAGGACACAGGCCCGTAGGTAAGGTCCAGCCAGTCTCCTCTTCTACCCGTTCCTCGAGTTTTCTGACCACTGCTTTCTTTCTAAGACTCCAGGTTATTTCAGACTGAGTTATCTCATGGACGTTAAACACACATGAAATAGAGGCATTTTATTTGAAGTTGGCTACTACTCATGTATTTCTTGCTCATCCATTTCTAATGATTGACCTTGGGAACCTCAGGTCAGAGCTTTAGCTTTTATGACATCTGTCCAAGTAGGACCAAACCAGATTTAGATGAAAATCTTTTGGAAGGTGTTTAGTAGAATATTTTGCGTTGAAAGAATTTGTTACCTTAAATATTTATTCATCGGCTTTTTGCATTCCTTCTCCTAGCATGCACTCATAAGCACTATTTCAGTACAAGACTGTTGTTGTATCATCTGAAAGTGATGAGCACTAGCCCACACAGTTGAAGGGTATCAGCTTCAAGTAGTAACCTTCTCAGCCCCTCAATCACACAGAAATAAATCGATACCAGCCTTGCAGTGAGCATAGAACGAGTCCCTCTCCTGCAGCCCTGACGCTCAGCTTCTGTGTCCGTGAACATCCCATCTCATGATGCAGCCCACGGCGTCAGTCTGTTTAGATGTGGAATCGTCACTACCTTCCAGCTGGGGAAAAATGAGGGCGTTGACTTTTACTAGTGACCAAACAACATGCTAATTTGTCTTGGCTTTACCTTAAGAAATCCCAAGTCTTGATGATACTTAGGGGATCGACCTTTGAATCAGATTCCATTTTAGTTCTTACCGTGGCAAGGAAGGTCTATTTGGAAAGTACTGTGTCCCTTCCTTTCTAAACAAGTTTTAAACTTGTAGTTCATCACTTAGAAAGTGCGTAGGGCTGGTTTTTTTTTAATGTATATATATATAAGTGGTATGTGTTAATTGTATCCAGTTAATCATATCCAGGTCAGCCCAGCAGTTAAGAAAGCCCAGTACATGAGCAAAGCAGAGTGTTCATAATGGATTAATTGGGGGATAATTATTGACACATCCAAATATCCTGGTGCACAAATCATTTTCCAAAGCCATTTTCCCCAAGGTCCCAAATCAGACTGTACACAGCTTCAGGAGCTCTCCTGTAAGCCTTAGCCCACATGTAACCGTGGGTAAGACTGCCGAGTATTACTAAGTGAACACCAGCGTGCCAAGAAATGGTCACTGTGCTGTGGAAAACGGAGTTGGGACTCACTGAGCGCTTTCTCTCTTTTTTCCCAGATTTGGAAATGGCCGTGGCATACTGGAATCTGGTGTTTTCTGGAAGGTTTAAGTTTCTAGATCTTTGGAACACCTTCTTGTTGGTAAGTGTCTTCCTGCTTATGGGGTCCCCACATGAGGGGTCAGCCGGGGCAGTTACCGTCCTAATAACCGACGGCTTGTCTGCGGGCCCTGAGGAACCAGTGTCCCCAGCGGCAGTCCCAGGGAGCCCACCCGCGGCCACGCTCTGCCTCCTGCAGAAAACGGTGCCCATGGGCTCGGGCCAGGCTGCTTGAGGCCATCTCCAGACTGTGCGTCTGTGGTCCCTGCCCCAGTCTTCATGGGCCGAGACCCCCCAGTGACCGCGGCCGAGGGGAGGGTGCAGGGCGCCAGGCCCGCCCCTGACCGCGGGAGGCGGCTGTGGTGTCCTGCTCAGGGCCCCCCGCTCTGTGAGGACCAGTCCTTCTAGTGGAGGCGTGTGGGATGTCCGCCAGGAGCAGCCTGGGGAAGGACCCCAGCATGTGCAGCAGGAGGCCCAGGGCACGTGTGGGGCAGCAGGAAAGCACGCGTGATGCGCCGTGTGCGTGACCAGCTTGGGAGCCATCTGTGGACACGTGCGCTCATGTGTGCAAAGACAGGCCTGCGGGGGCTGGGAGCCTCGGGAGACCCGGGGCTGCTCCAGCTGGGGGCCCCCAGGAGCAGGGGCGGGTCCTCCAGTGTCTGAAGTGTCAGTGATGGCCAGCGTCCCACCCCTGCAGAGAGCCGCCTGGTTCACAGGAAATAAACGCATCCAGATGCTGCTTCCCCACGTTGTTTCTGAACTGGTTTCAGGGTTGGATAAAGAGATAAAAAATGCTGCCTTTCTATTTGAAATGAAAGTCAATAATTCTTGTTTTGTGTTTCAGTAAGTCTGCTTTCTGCATCTGCACGTTGGCATCAGGTAGCTCTTAACACTGACCCAAAGCACTGTTGCTGTATTAACTTCTGACAGTGTTGACCTGGTCCTCACTCCTGGTCAGAGTATGTTCTGAGATCACCAGGCTGAGAGCTCCGTCTGAGCCAGCGGTCTGCTGGTCTTTCCTCTTGTCTTTTAGGAGCATCAAAAAAGATCAATCCCAAGGGACACTTGGAACCTTCTTCTAGATTTTGGAAACATGATCGCAGATGACATGTCCAACTGTGATGAAGAAGGTAGGCGAAGTCCACAGACCTCAGGTGATGGCCAGTGGGCAGGTGGGTCCCCGTTGACCCCTGCCCAACCCCGTGTGTGAGACAGGAGTGATGAAGTGGCTAGTACTCACTTATTACGTCCTGTAAATCCCACAAGAGAAAACATCACTCACGTTGAAAGTCGGGAGGAACTCTTCTGAGCTGAAGCTTTCAAGGTGGGTGTGCAGAGGCCCCGAGGCAGGACCACAGAGCAGGATGGTCACTGGGGCCGGCTGACCCCAGCGTGGCCAGCGGTTATCCCAGCGTGGCCAGCGGTTATTCCAGCGCGCCACGGAAGCACACAGAGGGTTCCAGCCTATGTTTACTCACCTGAGCACCATCCCACCTGCAGGCCCCCCCCCCAAGACATTTCAGGGAATATTCTCCCACCTGCTGCACTGAGGGTGCTGCCCCTTCAGAAAGAATGTCCACCCCCAGCCCCCTCTGCCCAGCATGGCCGTGACCGCGGATGTGCTCAGCGGGGCTGGCGGTGAGCGCTGCTCACAGATGCATGCACGCCAGCACACAGCACCTACCGCCTGGGCCAGCCAGAGCCGAGGAGGGTAATTTCAGCTGACTCCTTACGTGTAGAAGTTTAAAATCATTTGAGCTCTTGAGATATTAATGTTGGATTGTGAAAAAATCCTTTGACTATAAAAAATATTACTCTAAACTGCCGATTTAAAAAAATCTTTTGTTTTCCTTTAGGAGCATGGCCTGTTATAGATGATTTTGTAGAACACGCAAGGCCAGTGGTCACAGGTGGTTAAAGCAGTCGTGTCTCGGCAGAAAACTGAGCTGGACTTGGATGAACAGAAACCACGTCCTGCAGGAGACGCTGGTCAGCTGTGCCTGCCGCCCGTTTCTTCCTGACCCGCCATGCGCCTGGAGACGGGGCCCCAGCTGCCGCTGTGGAGCCCTCCACGACCGCCGCATTTGTGGGGCGGGCGGAGCCTGTCTGCAGCCCCTGCCCGCCCTGTGCTCTCACAGCCAGTGGTGGTCCGGTAACCACACCTGAGAACCTGCCAGTCAGGCGGCTGGAAACCTGTCCTGAGAAGGCGGCTGTTGTGGACGCTGAGGTTTTTAGATTTGGTGCCAGGATTAAGATGGAAGTTTTTTGAATTATCCAGCTTCATCAGTTCTGTTTTTACCTCACTTTTCTCTGGACGCTCATGGGAATGATTTTGCAGGTCGATGGGCTGTTGAGGTTTGCACAGCGACTTGAAACTGTGTGCAAGTCGGGGGTCTGTTCACTGCTAATGGTGTCAGTTCAACTTCCTAAGAAGCTTCATAAAGTATGCTTTTTTAAAAAAAGATTATTTTATTACATTTAAAAAGACATTTTTCCGTGAGAATTTCTTTTGTGATAAACTTAAATTTAAAAACCAACTGCTGGCTCCTCCCTACCGTCTGTAATGTGAGTACTTATGTCCACCCGCCCACCCTTCATGTGTAGTCACATTCAGAAGGTAAACACACGTGGTTGTCCCCAAAAATGCCACAAACTGGAAACCGCATCGCGCGCGCGTGGAGCAGAGTGCCGGCGCCCCGAGCCTCTGGCCTCCAGCGCGGCCCCCCCACCTCCTTTCCTTCCTGGGGGTCCGCCCAGCTGGGGCTCTGGGAGGGCGGCTGTCCCGCATGCCGTCCAGGTGGGCACCGTGACCCGCCTGCCCATCTTGGAAGTGGCTTCGTGTGGTGGTTTGAGAAGCGCTGGGTGGGCCGCACCTCGAATGCAGACAATCACGTCAAGGCACGCTCGTCGCCCCACCGCGGCCCCACTTATGAGACAGAAACTGGGGCAATTCACGAGAGAGGGGAATGCACTCAGATTTGTGGAAAGTGTGCCTAAACTGTGCAGTTTATTTTGGCTTCCAAAGTAGGAGCCACTCAGGCCTGAGGCCTGGAGACCCAGGCAGGCAGGCAGTGTGGGGTGGGGGGGCCAGCCCCCCACGAAGTGCAAGGCCCGGAAGTCGCTGACCTCTCCCAGCCCCACTGCTGTGGCCTCAAAGAAAACACAGGCCACCTCTGCCCACAAGCCTGGGGCTCTTAGAGCTTTAGCAGAAGCCTCAACAATCGCGTACAGGGTCCATCGAGGCGTTGTGGGCTCTGACGTGGAAGAGTCCCATTCAGAGAGGTTGCAGGACTCATGCCTGTGAGAGCGGCACGGCTTCCTCCTTGAGGTTTAAGGCTGTGTGGGAAAGGCAGTCTGTGCACAAGGGCCTTCTTGTTCATCAGCAGAGGCCAGAGCTTAGTGACTGGACAGAGCCTCTCGCACACGGCCAGACCCCATCCTTCTATCGTAAGCATTCCTGCCGTGCATGCTGTGGAAGCGCCGAGGACTCGGAAACACTGAAGTTCTTCTCTCTGGGGCCGTGGTGGCTTTCAGCTCTGCCCCGGACGCTCAGACGCTCTGCGCTGGGTGTCCTCCTCCACCCCATCCGGGAGCCTCCCTGCTGTGTCTGGCCTGCCGCCTCCCACGTAGACGGCCTGAACCTTCTCCTCTCCTTTCTCGGTGTCACGCAGCCCCTGCTGAGCATGCCTGCTTCAGGTGGGCAGTTACAGATCCCAGGATACACAGAAATCTCATGATATACAGACGTTCCTCTGGCTGATAAGAACTGTATACCCAACTGATCCACTGACATATCATTGAAGACACATGGATTAACCAAATGAGATGTTGAAAAAACGTGGACGCCCTGCGCCCACCTCTTGGCCTGAGCAGCACCACCTCTGTGGTGGTGACATCATGCGTGTTGGTCTGTGATGTCAGCTTAGTAGAAGCTTACAAAGGAGGTTACACATGTCCCCGGCTCCCAGCTCCCAGCTCTGCGGGTCAGCCACCCCCACGCTCACGGCACACGGCCAAGGCTCCACTCCCTGTATCCTCTTGGCTCACGTCGGCCAAATGGTGTGCAGTTGCCCCAAGCACCTCTGAGGATGGTGCCTCTGCCTCAGTGATGAGTGTTTCTGCTGAGTGGTGCCGTTCTCCCCACGGCGGGCAGCTGGCAGAGGGCTGCCCTCGGGGAGGGAGTTCGCATGCCCAGCAGCCCGATGGCACTCACTGTGAAGCCCGCGGCTTCAGGGTCTCCCAGAACCGCACCAGCTGGAGTCGTGTTCCAGAGCCTCAGTCTCAACACGGGCTGCAAGGATGCCACCATTCACTTACAGGCATCTTAGCATCTTAGGATCTTAGCATCTTAGTATCTTAGTATCTTAGCATCTTAGGATCTTAGCATCTTAGCATCTTAGGATCTTACTATCTTAGCATCTTAGGATCTTAGGATCTTAGCATCTTAGCATCTTAGGATCTTAGCATCTTAGTATTTTAGTATCTTAGCATCTTAGCACCTTAGTATCTTAGTGCCTTAGCATCTCTGGATCTTAGGATCTTAGCATCCTCCTGTTATTGAAGCTTATCAGACATCCTCCTCACGTCCTGGTGTCCTGGTTTGATGTAGGACCAGGTTCTGTGCTACCACAGGCCTGGGGACACAGATGCCGGCTTTTCTGACCCTGGGTTTCAGGTCCAGACACCTGGTTTACACCTGGACCCCCCAGCCTCGGCACCGCCATAAACACTCCTCCCGTGGAACAGGGGTGGGGGCCCCGCGTCCCGCCCCACATGGAACGGCCTATGTCTGTCAGGGAGATGTTGCTGGCAGTGGGCTGGGGGACACCCTCCCCGCATGGCAGAGTTCTATCATCAACGTGCTCCACGGTCACATGCCCTCCAGAAACCAAAGTCGCGCGCGTGACAGCTGAGTCCCAGCAGGGTGCTGGGTGCAGGAGCCAGGCATAGGCTGCTGAGGGCGACCCGTGTGATTTTAAGTCCAGGAAACATGAAGACGCAGGGACAAGGCAGACGGGTGGAGGCTGGGGGGTGGGGGGTCGTGGGGGCAGAGGGGCCGGGGGCCTTGGGGGTCTCAGCCTGGCTGCGGGAGGCTGATGTGCACCGTGTGATTGACTGGACTGAGCCTGGGTGTGGGGGTTCCACACCGGAGCTCTGGGAATGTGAGTGCTTCCTCCATGTCACTGGGCAGATGTCCCCAGAGCAGCGGCTTCGCCCGCCCGGGGCTGTTCTGAGCCGCAGACGCCTCCACACAAGGGCCAGCCGAGTCCCGGGCCGGTGGAGAGACGCTGCCGCCCCACGTGGGCGGGCCTCTGGGCGAGGCTGCAAGCTGCGGGCCAGACGGTGTTCTCATTGGTGCCACCTGCAGAGACAGAGGAGGAGCGCCTGCCGCTCGGGCAGGCTCCTGACGGCTGCAGGATGACCAGCCCGGAGGTCAGCGGGGCGGACTGAAGGCTGAGCAGCGGCGGGTGCCTGCAGCTGGGGGCAGACATGGAGAAGTTCCAGGCGGCGATGTTGCTGGGGGCCGTCGGGGACGCGCTGGGGTTCGGGCACGCCGCCAGGGAGAGCAGCGGCTCGGGCGCCAGGGTCCAGGAGGAGCTGGGGAAGGGGGGCGGGTTGGACAACCTCGTGCTCTCGCCGGAGACGTGGCCGGTGAGCGGCAACACCATCATGCACATGTCGACGGCGGGGGCCCTCGTCACAGGTGAGGCTCTGCCCTGGGGCGGGGTGGGGGCGGGGGGACCCCGAGGTGAGGGGCCTGGAGCCCAGGGGTTGACTGGCTTGCCACATGGGGTCCCCAGCAAATGGGGTGTGCCTCCGCTTCGTTCCAAGACAGCCTCTCCAGCAACAGTGTCACTTCACTCTGCTTACCTGCAGACTCGGGTTCTTAAACCAAGGCTTTCCATTGTGTTTGTAAATGTTCCCTCAGCAGAGCCTGTGTATTTAGGGCTAAATGCAATCAGGTGGCTCATTTGGGGCCTGTTTGGGACGAAGCCTCAACTTCTGTGTGAATAGGTAGCTTGCTTCTGAGTTTATTTCAAAAAATATATAAAATAATAATCCAGTTTGCAGTTGGGCCAATTAAGATGCTATTTGGGGGGAATTGCTTCTCTATTCTGATGAACTGCGGGTAAAATGCCATCGGCCACAGCAGGGTTCAGCTTGAGAGCTGCTGCAGGTTCTCTCTCGTCCTAAGAAAATGCTGTGAAGTTGGTTGGATTTGGGGGGAACAGAGTTTCCTTAAGTAGCAGGTTGATTTCAGGAACACGTTTTTACTGAATTTCGGAAAAGCAGCGGGTGTCTGGGTGAGGCACAGCCTCCTTACAATTGCTGTTGAAACCTGTCAGAGGGTGAGCACGTCGCCGCAAAATTAGAACCTGGGGCGGCTGGGGCAGCTGGAATGTGTGTGCCACTGTCTGCCACCCCCAGCCGCGCCGGGAGCCGGGTTTAGCTCAGATGTCACGGCACAGGAATGCCTTCTGCTCCAAATAGCGGGTGGAGCCCTAAGCCTCAGATAAGATAGTGTCACAGCAAGTTGACATGACAAGCCAGCCTTCTGAGTCTGCACACTCCACGATCCGGGGGGGTGGGTGGGGGGATTGTGGGGCTTCCGGGCAGTCTCTGGGCAGGCCCCAGGCCCCTCTGCGTCCCGTCCCCGCGCCCTCCTGTGCTGCCTGCCTGGCAGAGTCCCCGGCAGGTCTCCAGGGTGCACTGTGGTCCCAGGACTCCCCGGCGTGGCTCCTGTCAAGAACGTGCTACCCCGGGTTGGAGCAAGTCACATCCCCTTGGCAGGAATAGGGCGGAATCCGCCCGGGTGAAGTGTGGGATCCGGAGCACGGTGGCAGCGGGCCCAATTCTGGATGGGCTCTGGCCCTCTGGACACGGGTCACCGTGATGCACTCGGGCAAGTCTGTGCCCCCAGAACGTGTTTTCACCCCGTAAAATCTAAGTTTAGTTTTCAAACAGCCCAACTTTTTTATTTAATAACAAACTGTAGCCTGTGTAAAGGGCATGGCAAATTGATGGGGAAACAATGGAACCAGTGACAGACTTTATTTTTGGGGGGCTCCAAAATCACTGCAGATGGTGACTGCACCATGAAATTAAAAGATACTTGCTCCTTGGAAGGAAAGCTATGACCAACCTAGACAGCATATTAAAAAGCAGAGACAGAGACATTACTTTGCTGACAAAGGTCTGTCTGGTCAAGGCTATGGTTTTTCCAGTGGTCATGTATGGATGTGAGAGTTGGACTGTGGAGAAAGCTGAGCACCAAAGAATTGTTGCTTTTGAACTGGGATGTTGGAGAAGACTCCTGGGGGTCTCTTGGACAGCAGGAGATCCAACCAGTCCATCCTAAAGGAGACCAGTCCTGGGTGTTCATTGGAAGGACTGATGCTGAAGCTGAAACTCCAATACCTTGGCCACCTGATGCAAAGAGCTGACTCACTGGAAAAGACCCTGATGCTGGGAGGGATTGGGAGCAGGAGGAAGGGGATGACAGAGGATGAGATGGCTGGATGGCATCACCAACTCG